AATTATATTAAATTGAAAATAGATAAGGAAAAAAATTAGTGCACGGTTTTGAATAGAAAAATAATTGAGAGTTATAGTGATGACATCACAATTGATAAATAGTCAAGAAATAGTCTTAGTTGGCAAAATCCAACATTAATTACGTGTTGCGCATAAATTCTTCAACTAACAAACCTATGTAATGAAATTTTCAATAAGATCATGACATTACACCGATGACAAATTATTATGCTGCTGGGCATCATACATTAATTCCACATACTGCGAGCTCCAATAAAAATATTAAATCATAAATAAGTAAGGAAATCATAAATTAATACATTCCCTTATTGCTAGATACTGTACCCATTTATTCTCTTAAACAAATGAAAAGAGACAGTACAAAGTGTCTTGCCTACAGACATACCAACAATGCGACTAATCTTAAAATTCAACTTAAAACCTTGAAAGGTTAGCTTTCATGTTTCTGTGAATACGAAACTTTGTTTTGGAATCTTAATAACCAATCCAGTATTTTCTTTTCAAGATGACATCTAGAATAAAATATTAACAATATTTTCAACATTAGGAAACAAGTCACAAACTTTCTTCTTAACACTGAAGAGGATAAAATATTAAAAAATATTTACATGTAATATTTGTTTAGCCACCATATCGTTTGTGTTAACTTTTCATCACAACAACAACCACAATAACAATAATAATAATAATAATAATAATAATAATAATTCAATGAGACTAATTAAAAATAATTTGCGTTCTTTTATGACAAATGCTCATTTAAATAGCCTCATGATGGTTGGAATACATTGTGATAGGTGGGTGAAGCAAGCTCGACCATGACAACGTGGTTGACAGATTTCATGCAAAATTTCCAAAATATAGAATTTCACTTTCAAGAATGAGGATTTGAAAATAAATTAGATGGTTACATTGCATACTCTTTGTTTCTTGCCTGGACATTATTCAATCAATAAATCAATCATGAAAACACTCACTCATTCAATCATGAAACTAATCTAAATCAATCACTACATCATTAATCAATTAACTGGGATGCTAATAAATTAATCAATTAACATGCTAAACAATCAATAAACCAATCAATCATGAAACTAATCAATTTAATCAATCAATGATGAAATAAAATAATCAATAACAATGTAATCAATCAATAAACTAATTAATCATGGACCTAATTGATTAAATTAATTTAATCGCAATCAATCAAGCAATAATGAAACAAAACAATCAATAAAATGTATTAAACACTAAACTAATCAATCAATCATGGAACTAATCAATTCAACCAATTAATCAATCAATCAATAATGAAACAAAACAATATATAAAAATCTAATCAAACACTAAACTAATTAATCATGGAACTAATCAATTAAATTAATCAATCAATAAATAATGAAACAAAACGATCAATAAAAATCTAATCAAACACTAAACTAATTAATCATGGAACTAATCAATTCAATCAATCAATCAATAAATAATAAAACAAAAAAATTAATAAAAATCTAATCAATCACGAAACTAATCAATTCAATCCAATCAATCAATCAATCATGAAACAAAAAATTCAATATAAATCTAATCAATCAATAAATAGTCAATCATGGAACTAATCAATTCAATCAATCAATCATGAAGCAAAAACAATCAATAAAAATGTAATGAAACAATAAACTAATCATGGAAATAATCAATTCAATCAATCATGAAACAAAATAATCAATAAAAATCTAATCAATTAATAAACTAATCAATCATGAAACTAATCAATACAATCAATCAATCAATAATCAAAGCAACCAATCAAAATCTAATCTAACAATAATTCAGAAAACAATGAATCAGAAACTAATCAAACTATTTGATCATAAAACTAATTATGAACAAACTTTCAGTTTTGTCAAACTTGTATACTGACCGACAGTATCGATGTTCACTTCCATGAACTTCATCTTCAGAATGAAAGGTAATTTTCACACCAATAAGTGGCAGTTGTTGTAGATTACCATTTGTACACTTTGTTGAGCACTATAAAGGTAATTAGCAGCACAGAATTATGATTTCAACTTTGACAACCAATGAAGCTATAACTAGAAAATAGCGAGCAAAGATCCATGTGTAGAAAGTAGTGCCAATTGCCAATGCCATCCTAAACAGTTTTATTTTTTCTGTTTATTTTATGACAAACAGCAGTCAGTTTTACGTAAAAATTTTAATTAGTATTCTGTTATTCTTAAACTTCATTTAAACCTTATTGAAAATTCTGTAAAACCACGAATTGAAGCCCATCTCGAATTGAAGCTCACATCTTCGGCTTTCAAAATTAGCCTCGAAAAGAAGCCCATGAGCTTCTTTTTCAGGTAGCATAGCTTCTTTTTGAGATAGTATGTACAGTACATACACTGTACAGGAATTTCAAAGAAACAATAATTTTCAAAAGATGCTTGGTTTATACAGTAGTTTAGGTGATTTAATGCCAGTTAATACACTCCATGATATAGATTGATGTTACAGTGGCCCTATTTATTGTTTTATAATACTAATTCCCAAAATTTACAGCATTTATTTGCTCCCCTTTTTACTTTGAAAAGAAGCTCAGGACTTCAATCCAAGGTTTTATGGTACCTCCTCCTCTCTATCACTAGAGAGGAAAAATAAATGAAATAAATCGTGTGAACCTAGTAATAGAAATATGGGAACCTGCATAAATAATGTGCAATGAATAACGTCTATGTTAAAAGCAAAGAGTCAAACCATAGGAGTTCATAAAAAATTAGTAGTGATAATGAAAGTTGAGGATTATCCTGACAGACACTCATAGAAAATATCAATTAGAATCTTGTATCTCAGTACTGCATGGTGCATCAGTTAAAAAAAAAATATTTGACAATCCATTCTTACAATTTTCATTCAAATATTCTATACAAGCTTAGCTAGGGATTTCAAGTACAATAGAATAACACTTATTAAATCTGTTGATATACTAAATCTATCAATTGTAAATATGAAATTCCAAATATGACACACACAATTATCTTTCTCCACTTAAAAACAAATTATAGCACATATCTTCAACAAATTCATTTTATACTTTATAATATAATATTGCTTGTCTTTAAATGCATAATAGAAAAATCTATGTACTTTATGTTACCAATTTTATTAAATATTATTTTTATGATTTTATTGAATAGTTAACTTTCTTGTATTTTAAAAATAGCAATAAATCATTAATTCAACCATTGAGTTACTACAATACCGCAACAACAAAGTTTTGTTTAAGACAAGACAAAAATCAACTCAAAGTAAAAGTGATTGGTGGCATGGCAGTTGAAATTCAGAATTTCAAATTAGCTAGGTAGGTTGTTCAAATTTCTCACTTTGCATTTTGCTGGCATCCTTAGGCAAGGCGATTTTAATCTCTTTCCATCTGTGTATCAAGGAGCAGTAATATTATGGATGCTCTCTGGGTGTATTTAGTGCCATGGGTAACTGGAGTACAGTAGTTTCAAACACCAATGCACTGATAGAATGCTTTACTATCGGATTTGACATGGCTTTAGCCAAATAAAAATGCAAACAAATTATAATAAAATTGGACAATCTAACAAAAAAAATGTCCTTTTTTTCCCCCCATCTTTCCTGATGTTCGTCTGTTGTCTTTTTTTGTTTTTTGTTTTTTGTTTTTTTTTTGTTTTTTGTTTTTGATGTGTTTTGAAATTTACTATTATCATTGTTTATTATCTGGCTAGCTCGACACAAGTTTCGGTTTAACCTTTAAACCAAATTTACTTCCAGGGCTGTTGCCTCTTTCATTGTTTATATGTTAATTGCTATTAGTTATACAGTTATTCAGATATTATTATTATTGCTCAATTTAATTATTTTTTACTGTATATATATATAAATATATATAGATTTATATATATATAATCGTAT